CCCTGTAGAGGAGCCTGTTTCCAAGAAAGGCAAGGAAAGTAAAAAACCCGAGGAATCCAACTCTGTAGTATTAAAAGAAAAGATTCCAGATGAAAACTAAGGACAAGTTGCAGTGCCATCTTCTAAATACGTATTCTTAAGCAACACTTTCTAGCTCTTAGAGTTCCCAAAACTTTCGCATTTTCGGTTTTGCAATTTGCATAAGGGGCATCATAAGAACCTACATGCTTAATCCGAACATTCTATCACTTATAGTTACCAAGATATAAGCTTTTCTAAAAAAAAAATTTCTAAAAACAGTCTTTTCAGATTGGTGGGTGTACGGGTGGGTGTGGCCGGATAATAGTACCACTAACACTCATCGATTTTATTTTTTTGCGATTTGTGGGCGTTACTGTGCGTGGCACGTTGCTGTAAAAAACGTGCGCTGCGTATGGACCTCAAGAATCTTCATGGTTAATCTCAGCTTTGTATTTCTTATAGTTCCTGAGATCTCATCTCATTTGTATCTCTTATAGTTCCTGAGATCTCATCTTAGAGAATAGTACATTGAAGCTTGCTCCGAAGTACAGTTAACAAAAAAGGATCACGGATTGCCGTTAAATTCAGAAAAAGAAGTCAAGAGTGAGAAGTGTACGAATAATTTTTGTGCGTAAAAAAATGTCTTGCGTTGTTAAGGAAATTATCTAGTATTTAAGTTAAAACTTGTTCATTTTATGTTTAAAATATTTGCTCGAAATGTATATCTTTCATTTGAGATATTGCATTTCAATTTCCGTTACGTATTTCTCGAGTTATTAAGGAATAAACTTGCGACTTATGGGTGTACGAATAAACACTGTACCTACTAGGACCGGAATTTCAAGTACTGGGAACAATTAATATTTTGTGACGAATGGAAATCTAATATTTCTTTTAACAAAACATCCGGCTTGGAAAATCAAAATGTGCATTTACCTATATGTATGTATGCACATATGTTGGTATACACTCGGCTTTAGCTTTCCCTGTCTTGGATTTTTCTCAAAGAAATCTGGGGAAGTGTTGCTGATTATTCAGTACCAAACATATTTTAGTTGTTTACAGTTCCCGTCCATTGTCTAGCGGGACGGAATTATAGGCCCAATTTTAAAGCTTGATTTAAAAGCCGAAACCCCATAGATAGTTGCTCGCAGCGTATTTTGTGCTCACGAAAAAAATCTTCATAGAATTGATAAACTTGGTTTTTGTTGACTACTAGAAAATTGTTTTTATATCCGTTACTCGTAAAGTGAAATGGTATATCAGATTCGGTGAAAAGTATGTAACAGGTCCATACGCAGCGCAAGTTTATTTCAGCATCTTGCCACGCCCACTGCAACGCCCACAAATCACGAAAAACTAACATCGCTAAAATCTCAGTATGTATGATCTTGAGGTGCCAGCGCATATTATGGTGGTACCATTATCCGGCCACACCCACTCATACGCGAAAGACGGTTTTCGCATTAGTTGATAGAAAGTTCCGATTAAGCACGAAGAAATGTTTTTTCCAATCTAGCCAGGCCTACTCTAACCCGGAAAAACTGTGGCGTCTATAATATCATAGTGTATGTCGTCGTTTGGCCTTGTATTATATATTGTGAATATCTATCGATTTACCAAACATTTTTCAAATCGATGAACTATTTGGCTTTTTATGAAGAAATGTAGGTTATAAGGCCTTACATGGATACTCAACATGCTTTCTCTGACAATTTGTAAATTTCCCCTAGCAAAAATAATATTTTAAATTGTGTAAAATAACTGGTATCTTATAGTCGAGGCACTCGACTATAGCGATTTCTCTTGTTTTTGCTGTAATTGGACGAAATGAGTCGGGGTCAAGATTTATCCCTAAATTTTCGAAAAATATAATAAAACACTGGAACACTAATAGAATACTGGCATCTAAAGATTATACATTCTGAATTTTAACTTTCTAGCTCTGATAGTTCCTGAGATGTCAGCGATTTTAGTTTTTCGCGCTTTGTGGGCGTAAGAGTGGGCGTGGCAGGATGCGGAAATAAACTTGCGCTGCGTATGGACCTCAAGAACCGTCATGCTTATCTTCTCATCTCTTATAGTTCCTGAAATCTCAGCGTTCATACGGACAGACAAACGGGCATGGCTCAATCGTCTTCGCTATTGATCCTGATCAGGAATATATATACATTATAGGGTCGGAAACGCTTCATTCTATCTGTTACATACTTTTCTACAAATCTAGTATACCCTTTTACTCTACGAGTAACGGGTATAAAAAATACAAAATCTGCAGACCTCGCGGTTTCTACAGCTATGCAAAAACTTACGAACAGCACCAACGCCGCCTGCCAACATTGCCAGCGCCGCCACAAAGCGCCACCTTTTGTCAAAAAAGCTGTTTACCTTATAACCTAAATTTCTTCATAAATAGAGAAATATTGTTCCGATTTGAAAAATCTTTGGCAAATCGATAGATGTTGACAAAAATATGTTATGAAAGGTCAAACGAAGTCATACAGTCGGCAATATTTTATTCGTACACCCATGAGTTGCAAGTTTCCTTAATATTTCGAGAAATACGTAACGGAAATTGTAATGTAATATCTGAAATGAAAGATATACATTTCGAGCTGGCATCTTAAGATTATGCATGCTCAATCCAAACTTTTTAGTTCCTGAAATTTTTCGTGATTTGTGGGCTTTTATGTGGGCGTGACAGGATGCTGAAATAAACTTTCACTTAAATTTGAATCTCTTTTATTTCCTGAGGTACGAATAGACGAACGAACATGGCCCACTTGACTCGGCTATGGATCCTGATTAGTAATATATATAGGGTCAGAAACGCTTCGTTCTACCTGTTACATACATTTTAAGGAACTATTATACCCTTTTACTCTACGTGTAACACGTATTTAAAAGGCCTACTGTCAAGCTATTCTGCAAGAAATTCAAGCTTATTATTACATACCATTATTTTTTTTTTGTAAATTTAAGGACCTTTCATTGTTTAGGCACTTCCAAGAAGTTATTAAAAATTATGTCTATAATTACTAAAATCTGTATAACATACCTTGCTCTCGAAGAACTTTAACTGCTTCTAGCACTCGTTTGGTATAGATACATGGTTCATAATTGTCCATTTCAGCTTCGACAACATTACAAACTCTAGAAGAACGTCCTTGAATAGATCCAGCCGTTGTACGCAAATCCCTAGCATCTCCGACTTGTAAAGCCATTACACATTTATTGACATCTTCAAGAATGTGATTTTCGGACACTGCCAAAAAGTCGTCAATTGTTGTTATATCATCGAGTGCTTCGGTTAAAATACGAACTTGCACAACCCAAGCCTGTCGATATGTGGTCATATTTTCTTGAGCTACTTTAGAATTTGGTCGGGCAGTTAATATAGATGCTGCATTTATTACTTGCGGACAAAGACTTTCAATTTGAGCAGCAGCATACCGAACCATTTTAACACCATCTTCGTTGCTTGACATACTACATACTAGATTAGCAACTTCAACTAGTTTTTCAGCGTGTTTTGTGAAAATTTCGGCTGTTTCACGAACATTTTTTTCATTGCCTGTTTTGGCTGCTTCAATTAAATCAAGCAAAGGAGTTGTAGTCTCTAAAAATGAGTCGGAAACATGATCAACAACAGCTTTTCGCAATTGTCTCCGGAGATCACGAGTTTTGCGACACATTTGATCTATTGCGAAAGTCCAGGGCTGTTATCTTTTTGATTCATCTGAACAAAAAGTTTCATCAACAAATTGCGCACATTTATTAAAAATTACTTACGTTTGACATATATTCAGAAAGCAGATCTTGTAATGCTTGCCGAACAGCATTGCATTCTGCCACAATTCTTTCTCGTCGCTCGTCTCTTGTACAGTCTGCATGCGTTCTTCGAGCAATTGGCGTGAACGCTTCTCGCTGTAGGTCATAGGATCCATAACAATTCCTTCCTGCAGAATTAGTTTACAAATTCAAATTAATGATATTCGTAAATGAAAATTTGACACATCAACTGGAAGGTCAATTCATAAATATATAATGTACTTTGGAAAATAATCATATAATGCACCGGGGCAAAGCCGGTGAAGCTGTAGTGATTTCGGTCAACAATGAAATCAAAAACAAAAAGTAATCGTTGACAGATTTTTTTAAAATCTTATCGCTTAATGTGCATGTTAAAGCTAAAAAAAATGTATCCGAATAATGAGACCGTAAATCCCTAATCGCTTGGCTGGCTGGGGAAATGGAGAGGACATTTCAGTAACTGAAAACGTAATATATGGACAGCCCATAATAGTCCACGAGATCTCAGCTTTCTTGCAAATAGACGCTTGGACAGACACGACTAAATAGACTCTGATATCGATTCAGGCCAAGAGAATATAATTAATAGGGAAGAGAAGGCTTACTTCTACCATATACTCTAGGAGTAACGGGTTTAAAAATATATATACGGTATTTTATCGGAAATGTATCTTTCATTGCACTCCTCAAAGTCTCTCCCCTTTGGAACACCAGAAGTAATTTAAGTAAGTGATTTACTTTTGTTGTGTAGGTATTAAGCCCATATCTCTAGTTTGGACTCGACATAGCAGCTAGTCACCCCGATGAACGATAATTTTTTTATTTATTACAAGAGTAAATTATCTTATTTTGTATCCTTTAGAAACCTTTTTCAATTCCTATTTCCTATTGAATTTGCCTGTCAAGCCGTAACAGGATTGCCGACAGGACCAGATAGATGTCGCTGTTAATGTAACCAAAAATATTTAAACACCCTATTATAATATATTACTTAATTTTTAACTTACGTCAAAATCGTCCAAAGCTGCAGCGAGCTCTCCTGCTCCGCTGTAAATATCTGTCGGTTGAGATGACTTTCCTTGAGCAACATCGCTGATAGTATTTACAGCATCGCAAACTTGCTTCAGAATAAAGTCGCGATTCACTTTCGCTAAGTCTAGTTCGGGATGGCGAACATATACTTTTGATGCAGTCAAAAGCATTGTTGAATGTTTTTTAAGCATCGCACGAGCTGCTGCTAAGTCGTCTCTCAATTGAGGATCCTTTAGTTCTTGCTGACGTTTGGCAGCTAGTTTTATAAGTTCTCCTGCATTGCGGCCGAATTGCTTTAAAATAGCAAATTAATGATTATTAGGCTTAGTTTTTAATTTGTAGAACCATTACAAAATACAATACGCTCTCAATTTAAAATATAATGTCATTAAACGTTAAAAGTTAACTGCAGTACAAATGGTCATTGATGATAGTGACGTCACTGCCTATGACAGGCCTTATAACCTAAATTTCTTCATAAGTAGCGAAATAATGTTCCGATTTGAAAAATCTTTGGTAAATCGATAGATATTAACAGAACTAAGTTATACAACGTCAAACGAAGGCATTCATAATAATATTATAGACGCCACAGTAATCCGCGGTTTGTGGGCGTTAGAGTGAGCGTTGCTGGAAAAAAATTTGTGACAAGTTGAAGTAGCATGTTTAATACGTGTTTTTAAGCCTAACTTTCTAGTTTTTATAGGTCCTCGAGATTTTTTCAGTTCTGGTATTCCGGGTTTTGTGGTCGTTAAAGTGGGCGTGACTAGATGGGAAAAACTAATTTGCATTTGGGGCATCATAAAAACCTACGTGCTTAATCTGAACTTTCTATCTCTTATAGTTACCGAGATATCAGCTTTTTTAGAAAATCCGAAAACCGTCTTTTGAGCCTTGTGGGCGTATGGGTGGGTGTGGCTAGATAGAAGTATCACTATAAGACGCGCTGGCATTAAAAAATTTTTATATTTTTTTTTATTTTTATATGATGCTTCCAATGCGAATTGAATCAAGCCACGCCCACTGTAACGCCCACAAAAGACGAAAAACCAAAAATGCAAAAATTTTGGGAGCAAAGCAACAAAGTTATGCTTAAAAACACGTATTTAAGAGATGCCTCTGCAATTTGCCACGAACTCTAATATTTTTATGAATGCCTTCGATTGACCTTGTATAACTTATTTCTGTTAATATCTATCGATTTAATAAAGATTTTTCAAATCGGAACATTATTTCGCTATTTATGAATATGAACATGATTCCTCTGATAATAGGTGCCGCCTTGTGAATTTTCACTAGCAAAATTAATATTTTAAAATTGTGTAAAACAGTAACGGGTATCTTGTAGTCGCGGCACCCGACTATAGCGTTTCCTCTTGTTTAGAATTAAATCCCTGCTCCCCTACATTACACGTACGGTAGCAGGAAGAGAGATAACAAATGTTAGACACAGGCACATCAAAAATTACATTACTCTAATCCCGGGGCTGAAAGGCATCGTGGCAGCGGAGAAATGCTTTACGGTGAAGTCAATCCATGGCTTTACCAAAGAGAGATAAAAAGTGCTTAGTATGGGTGTTTAGCATAAAAATACCCTTTTTTATTCTAAATAACCTTAAAGAATTCGATGGTATTATCGGCCTCAACTTGCTTAAGCAAGCGAATGCGAAACTCGATTTTACCGGGAATGTTATTCACACAAACAACGGAGATGAAAAATGCGATTCACCTTTCATAAAATGATTGTTAAAAATCCAAAAGCCATCGCTGATTCACACGAAGCACTCCCATTTAATATAAACACTATAGCAATAATAAAAATTGATGGGGAACCAGTGTACTCCAAGTCGTACCCACACCGCATGGATGTAACCAAATTCGTCAATGCAGAGGTAAAACAACTTCTAGCGGACGACGTAATAAGGCCATCCGGATCCCCATATAACAACCCTACGTGGGTTGTAGATAAAAAAGGTAAAGACCAGAATGGGGCAAGAAGAAGCGATTAGTTATCGACTTCAGAAAATTAAACCAGAAAACAGTAGACGATAGTTATAATCCCTACCTTCGACAATACTTTCGAATATGGGCGAGTCACAGCATTTCACTACACTCGACCTCAAATCAGGCTTCCACCAGATAGAGCTGGCGGAAAAAGGGCAGGGAAAAACAGCCTTCTCCATAAATAATGGCAAATACGAATTTTGTAGAATGCCATTTGGACTTAAAAACGCCCCAAGCATCTTCTGTTGTAGTGGGGCGGTGTTGCCACAAAAAGATGCCTCTTGATTGCAGATAAGATGAAGTCGGGGGAGTCGTGGAGTGAGCCGTCAGCTTTATTCACTTCATACAGAAAAACTAACACAACTTAGCTTAGCATAAGAAAACTGGAACTAGCATCCTTTGTGATCACTGGTTTCCAAAATAAACTTCAGACGGATGTCATATACACTGACTTCAGTAAAGCATTTGACTCCGTGAATCACAGCCTTCTTTTAGAAAAACTCGATCTTATCGGTTTTCCCACTGATCTCCTGGGTTGGATTAGCAGTTACCTCACAGGTAGAACGCAACGAGTTCTTTTTAAAAATTCAGTGTCTGCTTTAGTCTATGCTTCCTCCGGGGTCCCTCAGGGGAGCCACCTTGGTCCGTTACTTTTTACTTTATTTATTATCGACCTTCCCTTGGTTGTTAATGACTCCCTAGTACTTATGTATGCAGACGATGTCAAGCTCTGTCTGCAATATACCGATGCCTCCTACCAGGTGAAACTGCAATCTGACCTTAATAATTTTCAAAACTGGTGCTCTTCAAACTTATTAAATCTTAATGGCTCTAAGTGCAAAGCAATGACCTTCTGTCGCCTAAGACCTAAAGTGCCACTTATAATTTGCATGGTGTAGCTCTGGAAAGAATTAATGCAGTTGAAGATCTTGGCATCCTACTGGATGCAAAACTTAAGTTTTCCGACCATATTTCCTCTATGGTTAATAAAGCTAGAGGAGTTCTTGGTTCCATTAAAAGGTGGTCGAAGGAATTTAACGACCCCTATGTTACCAAAACACTTTTTATTTCTTTAGTTCGTCCTATTCTGGAATATGGATCATGTAGAGGAGCTAGAGGAGTTCTTGGTTCCATTAAAAGGTGGTCGAAGGAATTTAACGACCCCTATGTTACCAAAACACTTTTTATTTCTTTAGTTCGTCCTATTCTGGAATATGGATCATGTATCTGGGACCCCCAGTATGGGGTTCACCAGTGCCTTATTGAATCCATCCAAAAGAATTTTTTAATATTTGCTCTCCGCGGTCACAACTGGGATGCAAGCATACACCTTCCCTCTTATAAAAGTAGACTCTTACTAATCAATTTGCCATCCCTCGCTAATCGTAGGACTATGCTTGGTGTCGTCTTTATCCATAATCTTCTAAATGGTGAAATTGATAGCCAGGCCGTTCTAGGCCGCTTGAATATCCATGTACCCCTTAGGATTACTAGAAACTATATTCCTCTATCCTTAGAGCATTGTAGTTCGAACTTTGCCCAACATGAACCATTTCGGGTACTATGTTCAAAATACAATGATCTTTATAACATTATTTCTAACTCGTCTCCTAACACTCTGAAAGTTTCGATACTAATCCATTTAGCACAAAACCAACTTTCCTCGTATCTTTACTAATCCACTCGGATCTATCCCCGTGTTCCGAGCCGTACGATAGACGGCAGCGCCCCTCGGTCGGTTGGGCGGGAGGTGGGTTGCACGTCAAGCAACGGGAGTCGCGCAAAAAAAAAAAAAAAAAAAAAAAAGACGATCGCCGACTGCCGACCGCTGCAGTTGGACCCGAGAGAGCGAGAGTGCAAGATTGTGCAGAGAGGGGCGAGGACGGATGCGCTCTTCAGCGTGGATGCGCTCTTCGGCGCGGATGCGCTCTTCAGCGTGAATGAGCGGCGGCACAATGGCCCCTCACCTAAACATCCCGCCCTCTTGCAATCACTCGTGTTGCAACAGCTCCCTCGTCGCTACGGTTGGTGACCGGCTCCGGACACGACCCATCCAAAAACGGTGCTCTGGGCCACCGGCAGCCCGTCCTGGATCTTCGGCACCCGATGAGTGGCGAACGAAGGCCGTGGAGCACCTGCAGCTTGCCGGCCAGTGGCGGAAAAGTGCAGAGGGTCGGCCGACGAGCGCCGGTAAGTCGTTGGCCGTGGACCGGCTTGTGAGTGCCGGAAGGTGGCGGACGAAGGCCGCAAAGCAACTGAACCGCGCCGGGAGTTGATGGACGACGGCTGAGCGCCATCTGAGACACTCCGTGTACTGTCTCCCGCGCTCTGTGACCGGTGCTCCTCTTGACGCGGCTGGCGCCGAGCCCGCGGCTTCTCCACGGGGTGCAGCAGCGAGTGGTGATCCTGACCACACGTTCTACAGCATTCACCACGCCGACACGATCCGTCGGAGTGCTCGTGAGCCAGGCAGCTGGAGCAATACCGATTCACAAGAACCGCCCGGAGCCGTTTCTCGGCACTGAGACGTAGAAAGCGCCGACATTTCTTCAAAGCATGGATCCCACTGCAGACTCGGCATCGGTAGGACTGTGTACCTCGAGTACATTTGCTCTCCAGTGACTGGGCGCTGCGTGGACGACATAGTACTGAATATGACTGGCGGAACTATGATGAAGAAACAAAACAGCGTTATCAGAATTGGTGTGAAGTTCGATTTGGAACTACGGGCAGAGCTATGAGACAGCACAATGGACAGGGACATTGGAACGTCGCCGTCAGCGAGCTGTTGCAGGACACGGATCGCTAGGAACGGGACACAATTGACACCGAAGGTGACCGTTTTTAATTCGTAGTCGCGGATCTCCCCATCGGGATTGCGAAACAAAATAAGTTGGAGCGGAGTATGCTTGGGGTCTGCCCAAATTTGCCAGTACATCTTCTCGATGACGGCGTTGAAAACAAACTTAAAGTATCGCCACTTTCGGATTTGACTGGTCAGGTCGGATTGTAAGACCGGGCCCGCGTAAAGAATGTCGTTCAGACTGGTCTCGTTTGCGGACGGGCTCAAAGCATTGAAGACTACCCGCACATTGGTGGTCGTTCTTTCGGGCTTGAAGACAGCAGGATGTGGAAGATAGTAGGTAGCGGAACTGCTCGTGGGAGAGACCTCGGTCATGTGGCCTAAGTCGATGTATTCCTGGATTACCGAGTCATAGCGGGCCTTAAGGGGCGGATCCCTCTTCAGGCGCTGCTCATTACGCAGGAGCTG